AGAATAGAATAGAATAGAATAGAATAGAATAGAATAGAATAGAGGACAGGAGAAGAGAAGAGAAGTTGTGGGAGCTTCATCACTGAAGGCTTTCAAGAAGGCACTGTACTGCCCTCTGTCAGAAATGCTGTAGGGTCTCCTGCTTGGGGGGTGGACTAGATGACCTACAAGACCCCTTCCAACTCTGTTTATCTGTTAAAGAGTAGAGTAGAACAGAATAGAATAGGAGCTGTGAGAGCTTCATCCCTGGAGGCTTTGATGAAGAGACTGGACTGCCGTTTGTCAGAAATGGTGTAGGGCCTCCTGCTCTAGTCCAGGGGGTTGGACTAGATGACCTACAAGGTCCCTTCCAACTCTGTTATTCTGTAATTCTGTAACCGTTCTCAAGGCTGGAGAGAAGAGCAAGGAGGCCATTGAGCGTGCCGTCAACATTTCGCTCTTCCGTGAGGCGCCACAAGCCGGTATGCCTGCCGCACGCGAGCTCCTGCGCCCCGCCATGCCGATCAGGCCCGCAACGGGAAAGCATGGAGCTCCACGCCATCCGCTCCCGAGAGCCGAGAGGTGAACAGATGCTTCTGCAATTCCAGCAAAGACGAGGAAAGCAGATGTTCCCGGTCACCCCCCCCAACCCTCCCCTCTGAAATGCACGGGACCGACATATTGTGGTCCCCTTCCCGATGACAGCACGCATTACCCACTTCCCTAATTGAGACGCGGAGGCGAAGGGCCCTGTTCCCTTTGTCACATGGACGAACCGGCGGTAACACTTCCATCTGGAGGAACAGACAAAACGCTGCGGGCTTTCGGCGTGGAAAGTGACGGGCGGATGGAGAGCTTCTTTTGTGCGAGTGTGGAGGTGATGCGTTGGCTTAACAAAACCCAGGCATTCCTCAAGGCTCTCCCCGAACTGATAGGATTCATGGGGGGGGGGGGGAAGCAAGATTCCAGAGGAATCCAGTAGGTCCCACATCAATAACAGGAATTGGGTATGTCTATAGTTTAATGAAAAGAAGGACAAGGGGGGACATGATAGCAGTCTTCCAATATTTGAGGAGTTGCCCCAAAGGAGAGGGAGTCAAACTATTCTCCAAGGCACCTGAGGGCAGGACAAGAAGCAATGGGTGGAAACTAATCAAGGAGAGAAGCAACTNTCTAAGCAGTTTACAGAGTCAGCCTCTTGCCCCCAACAATCTGGGTCCTCATTTTACCCACCTCAGAAGGATGGAAGGCTGAGTCAACCTTGAGCTGGACAGTATCGAACTCCTAGCAGTGGGCAGAGTTAGACTGCAATGGCACTTAGCAGACTTATAGTGATTTACCGCCCCCAACAATCTGGGTCCTCATTTTACCCACCTCAGAAGGATGGAAGGCTGAGTCAACCTTGAGCCGGTCAGGATGAAACTGTTGGCAATAGGCAGTTAGCCTGCAGTAGGATGCAACCACATCTCCATCTCCGCCCACCCGCCCGCCATGATGAGGCACTTAAAAATTTGATGACATGACTACGGGGATACGACAATGGTCGTAAGTGTGAAAAACAGTAGTAAGTCGCATTTTTCAACGCCGTTTTCAGTTCGAACGGTCACAAAATGAACGGTTGTAAGCCTATAACACTGGTGGGGGGGGGGATTATAGGGAACAAGTCTTTGCTTTTTTTCTGGTTTTTGGAGGAGGGGGGGAGAAAGGAACACTCTAACCTGAGACTGTCCAAATCCAAATCATCGGTGTCAAAATCCAGGAGAGGCTGTGGGGTGTCGCTGGGCCCGTGGGACTGAAGCACGGAAGAACTGGAGGAAATCACGATGGTTTGGCCGGAAGGATGAATAGTCTTGAACTGGAACTGCGGGCCCATCCAGAGGCGGCGGTGAGGTCCGGTGTGGGTCACAATTTCCACCTGGGAGGAGAGCATCCGAACAATGGATCACCAGGTCTGGAGGGACCTTCAGAAGCTTAGAAGTGAGGTCCCTCAGGTGCTCAAGAGGCAACTGGACCGCCTGTTTTTTTCTTGGAAGGCGTTTCGCTTCTCATCCAAGAAGCTTCTTCAGCTCTGACCACATGGTGGGAAATGGAGGGATTTACAGCTGGTTATTTGCATCCTATTAAAGAGCCGTCGAGGCCACTTGGAGGTTTATCTCTGTCCTCTGGGCCACCTGAACGGCGAAAAGTCCTTTCGGACGTTCCAAGAAGACCCCACACCCATTTGTGCTACAAAGGTGACCCTGAGGACAGAGGAAAAAACCTCCAGGTGGCCTCAACGGCTCTTTAATAGGATGCAAATGACCAGCTGTCTGCAAGGAGGATAAATCCTTCCCTTCCTCACCATCCAATCAGAGCCGAAGAAGCTTCTTGGAGGAGAAGTGAAACATCTTCAAAGAACAACCAGGAAGTCCAGTTGCCTCTTGAAAAAATGTACCTTTGGGGAGACCATCACCTGGATGATGGAGAATCTCCACAGACGCTTAGAAGTGAGGAGAACAACTTCACCTGGCGTAAGGGGAGAAGATTCCACATAGCAGAGTAAGGCCATCTACCTGTACTTCCCTGGATCAGCAGCCCCCAACCTTTGCGGCTTGGCGGCCCAGCAGGTGTGGAAAAAGAGGAACTAGACCATGCAAGCAGCGGGCCCTCTGGCACACGCATTGCACAACTAGACCTGGGGATTGGGGGGGGGGGGCAGTGGTGGGATGCCACATTTCTTACTACCGTTTCTGTGGGCATGGCTTTGTAAGCGTGGCAGAGGAAGGATACTGCAACATCCCCATTCCCTCCCCATTCTCAAAACGCCCGCTACTGATTCTTCAGAACCTGTCGGAACTGGCTGAATGCCACCTCTGGACCTCTGCCCTAGAGGACAGACCCAAAACATGCCCATTCTGTTAGATCTAGTGGGATAGGAAAATGAGGTTTGTGTGTGTTTCTTGTTAGGTATATTACAAGTCACAGTAACAGAGATTAGAATTTTAAAAGATCACAAAGATAATTAAAAAAATTGTATTGACAACTTTGTAAGATGGATAAACTGCTTGGATTACTAAAAGACAAAAACTGTTTCCGGGTGTGTTTCAACGTGGTCTTCTTGGAGGCTTTCAAGAAGAGACTGGACTGCCCTCTGTCAGAAATGCTGTAGGGTCTCCTGCTTGGGAGTGGGGGTTGGACTAGATGACCTACAAGGTCCCTTCCAACTCTGTTAATCTGTCTGTGAATAGAATAGAATAGAGGACAAGAGAAGAGAAGTTGTGGGAGCTTCATCACTGGAGGCTTTCAAGAAGAGATTGGACTGCCATCTCTCAGAAATGGTGTAAGGTCTCCTGCTTGAGTGGGGGTTGGACTAGATGACCTACAAGGTCCCTTCCAACTCTGTTAATCTGTCTGTGAATAGAATAGAATAGAGGACAAGAGAAGAGAAGTTGTGGGAGCTTCATCACTGGAGGCTTTCAAGAAGAGATTGGACTGCCATCTCTCAGAAATGGTGTAAGGTCTCCTGCTTGAGTGGGGGTTGGACTAGATGACCTACAAGGTCCCTTCCAACTCTGTTAATCTGTCTGTGAATAGAATAGAATAGAATAGAATAGAATAGAATAGAATAGAA